AGTGATCGGAATAAATGGTAATCCGAGGGTGCAATATCGGGCGAGTATGGTGGGTGAGGCAGTACCTCCCACCCCAATTCGTTAATTTTGTCTAAGGACCGTTTTGCACAGTGCGGTCTTGCATTGTCATGTTGCAGAATAACTCCTTTTCTGTTGACAATCGCCGGATACTTTTCAATCAAAGACTGGTTTACTCGTTCCAGTTGTTCACAACAGACATCTGCATTAACAGTTTGTCCAGGTTTTAACACTTCAAAGTGAACAACTCCGCGTGTATTCCACCAAACACACAGAAGTGCCTTTTTGGGGTGTAAACCCGGCTTTGCAGTAGTTTGTGGTAATTCATTTCGGCTGAGCCACTGCCTTTTGCGTTTCGGATTGTCGTACAGGACCCATTTTTCGACTCCAGTGATCAAGCGATCAAAAAACGGATCTGTACGGTGCCGTTGAAGCAATACGTTGCACGTGATGGACCGGTTGGCTTTATTCTGTTCGGACAGATTATGGGGGACCCAAACACCACCTCTGCTTATTTTTCCAATCTGTGGCAAATGTTCTTGGATGGTTGACCAAGGTTGGTTAAGGCTGTTTGAGAGTTCCTCAATTGTTTGACATGGATTTGCTTCCACTTCTGCCTTTAGCACATCGTTATCTAATGTTGTTGGTCTTCCTGATCGATGGGCGTCCGAGAGATCAAAATTGCCTGATCTGAACTTGGAGAACCATCTTTGGCATTTTCGAACGTCCAATGCGCTTGGATAATTTTATATTTTACGTAGCGGGAGTATTTCGCTCCCTTATCTGTTTTTGTCTCTTTGCCGTTCATGGGGGATGTTACGCTTCCCTTTAATTTGTTTTTACATGTTTATTATTATTTTTTTTTCCAAACGTTTTGCTCCCCGGGTTAGGGATTCGGATATTGCTGCTATGCCGGTTGCAGTGGACGGCGCAGCGCGGCGCGGCGACTCTATTTTTTTTTGGTTTCTTCCAACGAGATATGGTCATTGGCCGAATGACTGTGACAAAAATTATGTTTTCTTTTCTTCCCGCACACATCTCCCGTGGTGGCCCTTGAATACAAGCAATACAGGTGACAATAACCGGAACATGCTGTTCATGTCACTGAAGACATCCTTAGATGATTTGTGGGTCTGAAGGAAGGAATGTCCACTTGTGTTCGCGGAATGTCTCAATACCATCTTCACTCGTAATCGTGCATAAAACTAATGAGTAAGTAATATACACTACTAGTTATTACATCGTATACGTTTTCTGCATCACGCAAAAATATTAGAGAAGAATAGTTGTTTGAATTTATTAACTTAGATAGCGGAAATAAATAAAAAAAATAGAGCCAACAGCACGTGGTGTTCCCAGGCGGTCACCCATCCAAGTACTAACCACGCTCAACGCTGTTTAACTTCGATGATCGGACGAGAATCGGTTTTTTGCAACGTGATATGGCCGTTGGCGATGATTAGTAACAACAATTGCGTTTTCTTGTTTTTCAGCACATATCTCTCGTGATGGCCCTCGAATACAAGCAATGCAATTGACAATAATCAAAGTATGCGATTCGACCACTGAAGACATCCGCCGATGATTTGTGGGTCCCAAGAACGGATATTTCCTGTGTCCAAGGAACATCTGACTACCATCTTCACCCGCAATCGTTCATAAAACTAATAAGTAAGTAATATACACTACTAGTTATTATATCGTGCTCTTTTCCTGCATCACGCAAAAATATTAGAGAAGAATAGTCGTTTGAGTTTATTAACATAGATGGCGAAAATAAATAAAAAAATAGAGCCAACAGCACGTGGTGTTCCCAGGCGGTCACCCATCCAAGTACTAACCACGCTCAACGCTGTTTAACTTCGATGATCGGACGAGAATCGGTTTTTTGCAACGTGATATGGCCGTTGGCGATGTATTAATAACAACAATTGCGTTTTCTCGTCTTCCAGCACATATCTCTCGTGGTGGCCCTTGAATACAAGCAATGCAATCGAAAATAAGCAGAATATGCGGTTCGATGACTGATGACATCTGTAGATGATTTGTCGATACGAAGGAAGGATATTCACTTATGTGTCCGGGGAACATCTGACTACCATCTTCACCCGTAATCGTTCATTATACTAATAAGTAAGTAATATACACTTCTAGTTATTACATCGTTTGGTTTTCCAGCATCACGCAAAAATATTAGAGAAAGAATAGTTGTTTGAATTTATTAACNAGCTGGGTCTGCGTAGCAATTAGTTGTTGCGTGTCCCCATTCTTGGCACCTATGGCATTGTGTAACCCTTCGTTTTGCTATATACGATTCCCATATAATTTTGGTGTGGCTTAGGTACAAAACTTTTTGCTTCAGTTCCCTTAGTTGAACATTTGCTGACAAACTCACCATGAACATTGGTTGTCTTGTGTTTTTCATAATGTTAACGTTGTGGACTACCATGCCCAGCTCTTGTAGTTCTGCTTGGATCTCTTTTGGGTCAGTCTGTTCGTGAAGGCCTTTGATCACAAAGGTTCTTTTCTTGTCATTTTTTTGTGTGTATGTATGGAATTTTATGTTCTTTTCCTGCCACTGTTTCATGAGTGAAGAATAATCTTGTGAATTCGATGTGAATACTTCTGTGATATCCCTATGGCACTTGATATGAAATTTTTCTTTTAGTGTGTTCTTTAAAATTCTGATGAAGGTTGCATACTCAGCTATTTTGCCATGAATTACCAGTGGAGGTGGCTTCTTTGTTACAGTTGTCCTTTGTCTCTGCGATACAGGCTCTTCTTTGTTGCGGTCATTCCTTGTTCTTTTATTGGAGGTTTTTGTGTCATCTGATGCATCTGTATCCATATCCGATTCATCATTTGAGAGCGCCTGATATTTGTTGCTGCACGGTACCCCATAATGTACGTTTTGATTTATTTGCCCGGGTTTTGGCATGGTAGGGCCTGTCCTTTTCCGTTTTAGTGATTTTACTATCACATTCGTATATTCATTGTCTTTGTGTTCCACTAGAGAACTTGCACTTTGTGTTTTGAGGTTATGTTCTTCAATCACAGATTTGTCGAGTTATTATATTATATTGTTTGAACAAAATGTATTTAGTGATTATTACTAACTTTTATTCGTATATCTCACAATTTACTGATGCTTCACAGTAATAGTTGCCATACGAGTGGTTGTACTTTTGCGTTTGTCCGAGGTTACGTCGCACTGTCGCCACGTGTTGACACGGCGGCCGCTCGGACGAGAATGGACGAGAATCGGTTCTTTGCAACGTGATATGGCCGTTGGCGATGTAAGACTAACAACAATTGCGTTTTCTTATCTTCCAGCACATATCTCTCGTGATGGTTCCCGAATACAAGCAATGCAATTGATAATAACCAAAATATGCGATTCGATCACTGAAGACATCCGCCGATGATTTGTTGGTCCCAAGAACGGATATTCCCCTGTGTCCAAGGAACATCTGACTACCACCTTCACCCGCAATCGTTCATTATACTAATAAGTAAGTAATATACACTTCTAGTTATTGCATCGTTTGGTTTTTCAGCATCACGCAAAAATATTAGGGAAAGAATAGTTGTTTGAATTTATTAATTTAGATAGTGGGAATAAATAAAAAAAAATAGTGCCAACAGCACGTGGTGTTCCCAAGCGGTCACCCATCCAAGTACTAACCACGCTCAACGCTATTTAACTTCGATGATCGGACGAGAATCGGTTCTTTGCAACGTGATATGGCCGTTGACGAGAGAAACGTGTAACAATTACGTTTTCTTGTCTTCCCGCACATATCTCTCGTGGTGAGCCATAAATAGAAGCAATGTGAATCTAGGAATAACCAGAACACGCGGTTTTGTTGTCATTGAGGACATCCGTAGATAATTTATAATTGTCAAGGAAAGATTTCTACTTGTGTCCGAGAAACGTCTGATTACCATCNCCAAGGTCTTCCTATATTATTACTGTTATTAATAACTTTAATTCATTATCTAAATTCACATCTTTGTTACAGGTGAAGTGCATCGATCAGTTAAAATAACTCAAAATTCATTGAAAATACGCCAACAACCAACGAAGCCGTACACAGACGCCTGTCACCAGTGAAACAAGTAGTAAGTACATGGTATTTAATTATTATNACAGAAACTCCGGATCTTCATAATTCATCAACGAACGGAATGTCTACTAAAATATACCACACGTGCGCTTTCTCAGCCTTTTCGAGCCTTCGCCGTGTAAAATATTAACCGTTCGTAGACGACATCGGTACATTGTGTCGGCTCCGACAAAAATATTCAAAATTTATTACACAGTTTCAAGCATTATTATGGGTAATTTTTGAGATCGTCAAGATACAGTGGGCGATAAATACACGCGAACACCGTTTAAAACGTTGTAACTGCTGCAGTTGTGAAAAGTATCGAAATGTCCAATACAACCACGAGATTATGGTCACAGGTGCATCGATATTGTAACAGCAAGGATCGTACAGAAAAAAAAATCAACGATTGTTCATCGTTCTCGAAGGGTTAAAATAACAGCATTCAAGATCCTATTATCGTTTTCGAACTCATAAAATCCTTGATTAAGAAATCGCGACTATCGCTTACCGACTCCGCAAGCTTTAATTATGGCTTACAGAAACCGGCAATTACACCCTCGTCCGCGTTCTAATTATCGTGCCATTCCATTCGTATCTGGAAATTGAACACTTTAGCAATAACAGGACGCAGAAACGTTCTGTACGGGGATGCAGCGGTGCACCTTCGCTAGATATCCGAAGATAGAGTCAGGCTATACGGAAAGGCTCATTAAACATTCCGATTCGCGCAATAATTCGAGGCTGTGCGGCGGGTTATTACGCGAAAGAGCGTACCGAGTTAGGCTAATTACGCGCTGCTTGCACCCTGGCCCTTCCACGTATGGTTTCCGGTATTTTCACGGCTAAACGAGGCGCAACCGGCACAATGCAGCCCTATTATCCGCGAAATACGTACCGTGGTAGCAGTTAGCGATTATTATATATTCTTATATTGTATTAACAATTATTAGGTATCCTTACCAGGTATATGTGTCCGTAGAAGTACGAAAGAGTCACGATACGTCGAGAACAGAATGCGAACGAGCCGTAAAAGGAAGATCGAGAGAAAGAAGAGAACCTGTGCGTGTGTTATTGAGAGAAATCTCACGTGTCTGCAATTTTTAGTCAATGTAAAATTAGTTTCTCTTTTCCAGTTTTAAAAAAAGTTACGCCGTTTTGAAGCCGTTTCAACCACTTGCCGTACCATTATCTTGTCAGTTACGATAATTAGAACATCTTCGAAGGTAACAAGTTCTTGGAGTAAAAAGAAAAATTATACTTATCGTGTGCTTACATTTATTCGAGTGCTGAAACATCGATGTCAATGGACATGCTATTTTTAATCACTGTACGTCTCAATTTTCAAAATCGTTGCGCAGCTTCCAAAATCGACACGTAACTATCCGCAGCTTAGTATTATCGATTTCGAGTTGAAAAGCGACTGAACTATCAATTAGAAAAGAACTCGGTTTGAAAGGGTTAATTCCTCGTTCGTGCAGTACGGACTATACAGGCTGCCCAAAATTATAGTACTTCCGGGAAATGAGAGATTCCTGAGGTGATTCGAAGTAACTTTTTCCTTAGCGAAAATGCGATCCGCGGCTTCGTTTACGAGTTATCGACGAAAAACGGTGACCAATGAGAGGCCAGCTCGGTCGACGCATGGCGGCACAGTCAACGAGTACTCGAAGCCCGGTTCAGCTGATTGGCTCGGCCATCTCGCGCCAACTGATCTCGCCTCTCATTGGTCACCGTTTTTCGTCGATAACTCGTAAACGAAGCCGCGGATCGCATTTTCGCTAAGGAAAAAGTTACTTCGAATCACCTCAGGAATCTCTCATTTCCCGGAAGTACNCACGAGATCTCTTCTTATTGGAGAGCATGATGCAAATAATTGTATTAAAGAGCATTGCACAATCGTATTCGCAACATCGACCGAATATTTCCTGACAGCTATAGGATTTACATTTTCTTAAGTTGCAAACATAGAAGTGAAACTATATAAAATTCTATTAAATCTAACATTTCATAATATTTTTAGGTTCATCGTGGAGTTCGACACAAAGTTTACAATTTTGGGGAGACAGAACAGTGCCAATTAGATTCGCGACCGCTCGAATTAAGGAGCAGAGATCAAGGGGTCGTTCGCGACGGACAAAGGCAAGGGAAAAGTTTTCCTTGAGAGAAAGAAAAACGAGAAGCGTAGATGTCAGAGGCTGTCACACGCACAATCGCGAAAGATAGAAACGATTCGCACTTGGGAGGAGAGGGGAACCCCTTCTACCGATGCGATCCCCTTTCTGGTCACCGACAATGGTCCACAGGGAGAAATTGAATTGGCAACATCAGTAAACGACGCCGGAGTTCCTACAGCACCCCCGAAAAGGAGCGAGAAACGTGAACGAGCGGGACGAAAGTGAGCTCGTGGAAGGGGTTGCTGGCTGAAGAGGGAAAGAGACGGTGAACAGGGACGCGTTTCACGCCTCGTGGATTTCAAACCGTTTGAAATCCAGGTGGAAATAATACAACTTTGCGTTCCTTGTTAAAGATCAAAGGGAACTTACCCCAATCTCGATTTCGACGGTCCTAGGTTTCTCTTTCTCTGTTTCTCCCGTTCCTTTCGATACATACAGCCAACGGTAAGACGTTTCATATCCGTGGGCTCTATTCAAAACCATTTACGAATAGCATCGTATTGTTTTTCCCCAATACAACCGAGTCTTTTGTCTCGACTGCGACGATACGCGGGCCTATTTTTTTCATTTCTCTTAGTGCCAGATATGCAACCGCACATACAATTTCAGTCTACTGTTTGATTTCAAAAACTTCAATTAATGTTCAACTGCGGCGAGCGATATTACAGTCATTAGCATTATGCGATATGACATTTGGTCAACCATCGCTTATACCGGCAATAAAACTAAAACTAAATTGGTTTAGAACATGAGAATATCGAAATAGGCATATCAGTTTAGTCTCTAATGAACACAACATGCACTTCATATTTTCTTACATACATATATTTAGTATGAATTAGGCGCTTTTCGAATTCTTACGACTGCGAGCATAGAATTGAGAGAAAATAAAAATATCTATCAAAATGAATCATCTAATGCTATAATACAACGCTATATCATCAAATTTCTTACATTATTGTTTATATTTGTATTTATTGTTTCATATAATATTTTTGTGTTATTCAGAACAAGCACACGACGTAATAAATAGCAATGTATATTACTTACTTATTGCTTTTATGAATGGAATTCAGGCATTCCTCGGGCACAAAAAAAAATCTTTCCTTGAGACCCATAAATCATCTGCGGACGTCCTCAGTGATCGAACCGCATATTCTAGTTATTGTCAACTGCATTACTTGAATTCGAGATCCGTCACGAGAGATATGTGCTGGAAAATAAGAAAACACAATTGTTGTCATCCATACATCGCCAACGGCCATATCACGTTGCAAAAAACCGATTCTCGTCCGATCATCGAAGTTAAACAGCGTTGAGCGTGGTTAGTACTTGGATGGGTGACCGCCTGGGAACACCACGTGCTGTTGGCACTATTNCGTTGTTGTTGGACTATTTTTTTTTATTTATTCCCACTATCTAAATTAATAAATTCAAACAACTATTCTTTCCCTAATATTTTTGCGTGATGCTGAAAAACCAAACGATGCAATAACTAGAAGTGTATATTACTTACTTATTAGTATAATGAACGATTGCGGGTGAAGGTGGTAGTCAGATGTTCCTTGGACACAGGGGAATATCCGTTCTTGGGACCAACAAATCATCGGCGGATGTCTTCAGTGATCGAATCGCATATTTTGGTTATTATCAATTGCATTGCTTGTATTCGGGAACCATCACGAGAGATATGTGCTGGAAGATAAGAAAACGCAATTGTTGTTAGTCTTACATCGCCAACGGCCATATCACGTTGCAAAGAACCGATTCTCGTCCATTCTCGTCCGAGCGGCCGCCGTGTCAACACGTGGCGACAGTGCGACGTAACCTCGGACAAACGCAAAAGTACAACCACTCGTATGGCAACTATTACTGTGAAGCATCAGTAAATTGTGAGATATACGAATAAAAGTTAGTAATAATCACTAAATACATTTTGTTCAAACAATATAATATAATAACTCGACAAATCTGTGATTGAAGAACATAACCTCAAAACACAAAGTGCAAGTTCTCTAGTGGAACACAAAGACAATGAATATACGAATGTGATAGTAAAATCACTAAAACGGAAAAGGACAGGCCCTACCATGCCAAAACCCGGGCAAATAAATCAAAACGTACATTATGGGGTACCGTGCAGCAACAAATATCAGGCGCTCTCAAATGATGAATCGGATATGGATACAGATGCATCAGATGACACAAAAACCTCCAATAAAAGAACAAGGAATGACCGCAACAAAGAAGAGCCTGTATCGCAGAGACAAAGGACAACTGTAACAAAGAAGCCACCTCCACTGGTAATTCATGGCAAAATAGCTGAGTATGCAACCTTCATCAGAATTTTAAAGAACACACTAAAAGAAAAATTTCATATCAAGTGCCATAGGGATATCACAGAAGTATTCACATCGAATTCACAAGATTATTCTTCACTCATGAAACAGTGGCAGGAAAAGAACATAAAATTCCATACATACACACAAAAAAATGACAAGAAAAGAACCTTTGTGATCAAAGGCCTTCACGAACAGACTGACCCAAAAGAGATCCAAGCAGAACTACAAGAGCTGGGCATGGTAGTCCACAACGTTAACATTATGAAAAACACAAGACAACCAATGTTCATGGTGAGTTTGTCAGCAAATGTTCAACTAAGGGAACTGAAGCAAAAAGTTTTGTACCTAAGCCACACCAAAATTATATGGGAATCGTATATAGCAAAACGAAGGGTTACACAATGCCATAGGTGCCAAGAATGGGGACACGCAACAACTAATTGCTACGCAGACCCAGCTTGCCTTAAGTGTGCTGGTGATCATCTAACAAAAAACTGCAAGAAACCAAGAGAAGAACCTGCAAAATGTGTAAACTGCGGAGGAGATCATCCAGCCAACGCCACTATTTGCATAGAATATACGAAACGCCTGGACAGATTTGTAAACAAAGACATTGAAAGGAGACAGAAACTCAACACAGACAAACCTACAGTCTCAAGACCACCGTTCAACGTAAATGACAGAGGAGAATACCCACCACTGAAAACCAAAGCGCAAACAACCCAAAATGTATGGTTCCGTGGAGCACACAGACAGGATAACTCATGTCAGAACACAGGTTTCAACAACGTTATAAACCCACCTAGTCAAGATCATAACTCTACGAATATCCAGAATAGTGATCTTTCAGATATGATAGAACTGGTCAAAGAACTGAAAGAACTAAACAAGGTATTTAACATTAAAAAAATGCTAACCACAGTCAGAGAATTTAGAACTCAGCTGCAACAAAATAGAGAACCAGGTAAGCAATTAGAATTATTTCTAAACTTCAGCCAAAATTTTGACTTACCATGAACAGTATAGTTATCTGTAGTTGGAATGCAAATGGTCTGAGAACCAGAATAGGAGAATTGATTGAATTTCTTGATCGTAGAAATATCGATATTCTCCTAATCAACGAAACTAGATATGAAGAAAGACTGAAACTAAAAGTTAAAAACTATACGTGCCTTAGAAGAGACAAAGACTGCCATTCGGGAGGAGTTGCAATACTCGTAAGAAATAATATACCTTATAAGGAAGTGCAATTGAGTAGAAATATATCCCCGGAGTGTATATGTATAAAACTAGCAACAAACACGTATATCATAGCAGCCTATAACAGCCCAAATGTAAACTTTACGACCAAAGATCTTGATAAGCTACTAGGTATAGGACATAAAGTGATATTAGTTGGAGATCTGAATGCGCGACATCATGCCTGGGGCTGTCATATAAATAACAAACGAGGTAGAATATTGTATAATTATGCGCTAAGAAACAATTGTACCATTATGTTCCCGAACGAGCCAACGCATTACCCAACAAACAATATGACTCCGACAACGATAGATATAGCAGTAAACAAAAATGTTAATCGCATAAGTGATATCCAAGTGCTCAAAGAATTATCATCAGACCATAATCCCATAACCTTTACACTCGGGTCTCAAATAGATGACGTCAATCCCAAAACAGCATATGACTATGAAAATGCTAATTGGGACAAATTCAGACTAATGCTCCAAGAAAAAATCACACTCACAAACAACATCCAAACAACAGATGACTTAGACAGACAAGTCCAGAAATTTACGAATATTATCCAACATTGCGTCGAGCAAACAGTACCCACCACTACCAAGAAGGAAATGAGAGACAGATTGCCAGAAAATATAATTAAAATGATACAAGCTAGAAACCAAGCGCGCAAGAAATGGCAAAGGAGAAGACTTATTGAGGATAAAACACAAATGAACATGTTAACCAATGCAATTAGATCAGCTATCAGCAAATACAGAAATGAAGTGTGGACAAAAAAGTTGAAAAAATTAAATCCCAGAGACAACTCTTTATGGAAAATGACGAAAATCTTGAAATCGGACTACCGCCCAATCCCAACCTTAGTCAAAGACAATAGTGACGGAATAACAGATAAACAAAAAGCTGACATGCTTGCGGCGCAATACGAAGCGGTACACAATATTGATCTGGGATATAACGATGAACATACTAATCAAGTGGTTTATGAAGTTCAAGATTATATCCAAAACAATCAAGCCGATGACTGGCGCACGTACACAACCTCACCAAAAGAATTGCGCAAAATCATACAAAAACTACCCTCCCGCAAAGCACCAGGAATAGATAATATACAGAATTTAATATTCAAAAACTTTGGAAAAAAACCATTAGTTCAACTCATGTACATAATTAACACAATAATCAAATTTTCTCATTTCCCAAGCCACTGGAAAACAGGTTCTGTTGTCCCAATACTGAAGCCAGGAAAAATCGACACGGATCCTGGCAGCTATCGCCCAATCAGCCTACTCCCGACAATGAGTAAAATAACCGAAAGAATCATACTGAAAAGAATAACAGACTTCGAGGAAAAGGAGAAAATAATAATCGATGAACAATTTGGATTCAGAGAAAAGCATAATACAGTTCAACAGGTTGCAAGAATAGTTAATGATATTAGCATAAACTTCAATAAAAATAATGTGACAGTCATGTTACTGCTTGACATCGAAAAGGCTTTCGACAGAGTATGGATCGACGGACTCATCTTCAAGATGATCAAACTCAACTACCCGAAAACAATAATAAAATTTACACATTCTTTTCTCAAAAATCGACACCTACAAGTAGCAGTCAACGGAACATATTCAAACAAACGGAAAATCAGAGCAGGCGTACCTCAGGGCTCAGTACTGGGACCGAAACTATTTAACGTATACCTAAACGACCTGCCAACCTTCCCAAAAACTGCAATGGCACTCTTCGCGGATGATACTGCCATTTACGCGCACTCGTTCAGCGCAATCGTAGCCGCCAAACAAATACAAATACATATAAACATACTGGAACACTTCTACAAGCAATGGAAAATCCAGCTAAATGCAACCAAAACGGAAATCATAGTTTTTGCCAAGAAAAAATCGGGTATCAGAATCATACAACCGATAAAAGTAAACGGATACAGAACTGACACGACAAACACAGTGAAATACTTAGGAATCCACCTAGATAGCAAACTAACATTCAGAAACCACATAAAACAGGCATTAAGGAAGGCATATGCAGTACAGAAGAGAATCTATCCACTAATGGTGGCAGATTCGGCGCTCTCGCAACGCAACAAACAATTAATATACATCATGCTACTCAGGCCAATAATATTGTACGCGGCTCCGGTATGGTGTAGTGCAGCGCCAACAAACATCAAACCTTTACAAATATATCAAAATAAATGTCTTCGACTCATACTATCAGTAAATAATTATACAAGAATCAGGGATATGCATGAAGAGACAGCGATACCAACCATTACAGAGTATATTAAAGAATTAGCTGAAAATTTTTATAGAAACCAACTAGGGAACAACAAACTTACCAAAAACTTAACTAGCATAAGAAGCTACAATGCACCTTTTGAAATTAAACATAAATTGCCATATCAAGTACTTAATATATTTAACGAAGAATTGTGAAGAAAAAGACTGAGAGTAGAAACAAATAATAAACTAATCATATACCTCAAAACTTAAACAAACATACTGGGATACTAGCCTTGTAAGTAATTGTCGCAAGTAGGTTTTTGTCGAGAACTTTTCCTACAAAATAAGATAATTACCAAACTTAACACCAAATATGATCCAAACATACAACGCATCCGATAAGCAATCTTGTAAAAGATTGCATCAATCACGACTGAACAGTAGGTTAAGCTTGTTAAGTTAAGCAGGGACTACCCAACAGAACATGTCTACCAAATATTATTATAAGTCTAGTGATAAACTGTATTTGTAATAGTATATTTTTGTTAATCATATTAATAAATTTTATTCAAAAAGAAAA